TTAAAGTTCCACTATGACTTTAGTTTGGAAAAAGTGAAATGTCCATGACATTAACTCGTAATTTAAAGGGATCAAGTTGTTTATGAATGCAACTTGTTGTCTTAGAATAAAGAATTCAAAGAGGGCGTTGTCATGCAGTGTTGGTTATGCCACTTTGAACGTTAGTCAAAATGATTAATATTTTTCAGTAAAATTCCAAATCTGCACTCAGCTATCAAAATCTAAGAGTTAGGGAAAAAAAAAAAAAAAAACGATTCAACAAGGGGAAGGCTCAAGCCTTGGGTCTTTCCCCTGGAATTTGGGTTTGTAATTGCCAAGGTTAGGTTGCAAAACGCACTTCCTCTACTGAGTTCAATGCAAAATTTGATGATTTTGCAACACCACCATGAGAAGGTTGTACCTATATGGAAATATAGGCATAGTCAACCTATCGACCATCATCATCTCGTTGGGTAGCATTTTCCTTTGTTCAACATTGGTAACTTGCTAGGAACATTGTGGTAGATTTGTAAGAGCTGCACTTTTAGTACATGTGATCACTTTTATGGAAAAGTTACGGGGAAGAGAATGCACAACTACATATCCCGTATATAAAGGTGTAAAAACATCTCCCAAGTAGACGAGTTTTAAAGGGAAAGCCCAGAAGAAAAAGCTCAAAGAAGTTAGTGAAGTTTGAGCTATTACAAATGGTATCAGTGTCAACGAGGATGCTGAGCCCCAAAGAGGTGGATTGTGAGATCCTATATCAGTTGAAGAGGAAAACAAAACATTCTCTTGGTGTGAAAACCTCTCCCTAGAAGATACATTTTAAAACCACGAGAGGAAGCTCGAAAAGAAAAGCCTAAAGAAGATAACTGCAGATCCAAGATAATTGAGCTACGATTGATATTTACCCTATTTAGACACGATGCACCATTATGGGATAGATGTATGACGGAACGACTTAAATAAAAAAAGGAATCAAAAGGCAATGACATTTAAAGGAGAGAGCAGAGCAGATCAGAAGCGAGCCATTTTGTATAACATAACCATCCGTTCACCAATTGAATACAGGTGTTCCTACAGTACTTCTAAACCACCGTTTTGCACATGGAAATGAATTGAGAACCATTCATGTTAAAACTACCAACAGTCACTACATAACCTAAGGCAACTGTCAGGATTTAACCATTTAAGACTGACTGACGTAAAATCATAAATATGTTATGTTTACCCATCATTGCACATCATTTCACCAGACTAAGCTTCATCATTATCGAGCTTTTACTTTAGAAAAGCTCCATCAACTGCTGGGCCACATCTGCATTTTAGCATGAGTGAAAAACAAACCACGTCAAAACTTGGGAGCTTCTTTTCAAAGACACATTGAGATTCTAAAACAAGCCTCCAAGCAAGTAAAACAAGAAATATACCCACAAAGTTCTTACAACAAGCCTGGCAAAAACACACCCCTATCCTTTCAAAGCCCGCGCCCAGAGGTTGGGCTCAAGAGATTGTTTTCAAAACTAAAATTCTGTTTTCTACAACAAATATGGGTAGTAACTTATCTTTCTAAGAGAATTTCTCCTACTTTTCAATAGCTTATTTCCATGGATCATATGTTTATTCTCATAATTAAATTTGTTCTACTAAAATCCCACTTGGAAGTTATCATTTCCAACTACAATATAATCTTGAACTCTGATCATAACTATAGAAAACATCTTTCAATAATAAAAACATATTGAAGAAAAAAGATGATATCTCAAACAAGACCTACTTTTTGCTCTATAAACGTGGCTAAGACTTGAACACAGGTTTTTAGGAGTGAAAATAAAATGAAGAAATGGTAGTGTTATCTTAATTTTTAAAGCAATCACATAATAGGACGTGAGAAAATATTCAGAAGTTCTTCAAGGTACCTTGGAGAATAGCAGGCGTTGCTTGGAACTCTTGGAAGATATTTTGATAAGGAGCAAAATCCACATGCAGTAGCTTGGCAGACAGATATGCAGCTCCAGCAGCTATCTGATGGGGCTTAAACTGAAGCCAGAGTGAGCTCCTTAGCCTAAAAAAACCACATATCAGCCTTGCATACAACTGCCACTACCACCATCACTTGTTGAAGAACGCATCAAACAGTTAAACAAACCATCTGAGTCCATTACTAAATAGGATGGCAATGTCTAACAGTACTTCAAAACAAAAAAATACATCAGCTCCAAATACACAATTGTATATAACAATAAAAACTAAGAGTAGGAGCAAAGTAACTTTCAAGCATTCACTTCAAATGAATAAAAGTAAATCGTTTTTTCTTACCAACTAAAAAGCAGCAACTCAGGTAGAATATTTCCAAGAATCTCTGGAAGATTGCCGATAATATCATTATCATATGATATATGTTAAACCCCATACACAGAATACATCAAACTCCCAGGTAAATTTGGCAGCAGAGGCTTTTGATTCCAGAGACTAATGCAACCCAAACTAAAAGACAGGATGTTGTGGCATATTGCAAACAATCAAACTTCTCAAAGCAACCCACCATCTTCAGCTCTAAATGAGGTAAATGTTGATCTGGACTGGATAGTCATCAAGCACTCTCATCTCATCGTGCTTGAAAGCATGCAAGCTAACCCCACTTACAGATACAACCCAAAATTCCCACCGTTGTACAAAATACACATGAGAAGAAAATATAAATGTTCCACACACACATATATTGCATGTGCGTATATAAAGATATACTGGACTGTTCATTACATTTTTCTGTTATCAGCATGAGTTGTTTTGTCAGTACTCTGTAGTGAAGAGCTCGGATTTATGGAAAGTTGCTCTGATTTAAGGCAATTTGCTCTGAGTCTTTAGGCCAGGACATGGTTTCAACTGACAAAACTGCCTTTCCATGGAAAGTTGCATCTATTGTAATGTTTGTAACTTAAAGATAATTTTGCTCGGTTTTGGGGGTAGGACATTGTTTTTCTCTATTTTGGTGGGTGGGCGGGAGAAGGTGGAGTTTCTATGGACAATGCTACCTTTACACAAGCAAGCAGATCACATTTATTTGATGATCGTGATTCTAATGATGATACAAATTGAAACAAACATCACCTGAGTGGAATTAAAATTCACAATTTCTAAGTTCAACAAATTGAATGCAAAACCTTGATGTCACTGAATATTTCAAAAGTTTACACCTTCAGGATTTCCTAAAATCATAACATATAAAATGAGAACAAAGAAAATTACAGATTCATTCAAATAATGAAGCATCCACTAGGCATTGCAAGATGAAATAGGCCAGACATACATCTTTACAACTACAGAACAGTGCTGGATTTTTACAACATACATTAAAAAGTTTCACGGCCATGAATAACAGAATAGGCTAATGAAAATAAAAGCCAAATAGAGATAGAGGAGTTCAGTCGTCCATAGGAAACAAAATGAGGGAAATTGAAACAAAGTTACAAAACTTTCAAAATTTTAATAGCTTACAAAATCCAGGGAGGCCAAATATCAAGCAAACCGTATTTATTTGATAACGAGCAAAAAAAAAAAAAAAAA